CCATCATCATCAACACAACAGAAGCACACCATGACATCATCATCAACACACCATGAAACAACATCTATACAACATGAGATGACATACACAACATGACATCATCATCAACACAACAGAAACACACCATGACATCATCGTCAACACACCATGACATGAAACAACATCTATACAACATGACATCATCATCATCAACACAAGAGAAACACACCATGACATCATCATCAACTCACCATGAAATAAAAACACAACCTCTGTGCAACATGACATCAATATCTACCTCAAGACTTCACAGTATCAACAAAATATGACAGCATCACAGAGTCAGAACAGTATGTCAACATCATCACAACACGACACAACACCACCAGCATAACACATCACAACAAATACATCCACACATCACAACATTGACACAAGCACATTGCAACATACTGCAATACCGTCAGCATGCACACAGGTGCAGTCCCACCCCTCCTGCGGGCGGCGGCTCTGACTCACGCGTGGTGACGCTGATGGTGACTGGCGGCCCCTCGCGGTTCTGGACCAGCGCCGTGACGCGCACCTCGTAATTGGAACCTTCATCCAGACCTTCGAGGTCCACGGCTGTGACATCCCCTGGAACCACCCGGCTGGACTCTGGGCCTCCTGGCCGGGCGGAAACACAGAGAGGAAGTGAGGGACCTGAGGCAGACTGCAGTACAGAGGCACTGAGGCAGACGGGAGTACAGAGGGACTGAGGCAGACGGGAGTACAGAGGGAGTGAGGCAGACTGCAGTACAGAGGTAGTGAGGCAGACTGCAGTACAGAGGCAGTGAGGCAGACTGGAGTACAGAGGGTCTGAGGCAGACTGGAGTAAAGAGGGAGTGAGGCAGACTGGAGTACAAAGACAGACATCAACAGAGAGAGGGAGAGACGAACTGGGGACACAAGGGCACCATGCCCACATACCATCGGTGCGTTGCCACACTATCCTGTAGGAAGTGGCTCCCTGCACTCCAACCCAGGTCACCCTGGCAACATTAGCGCGTGACTCCAACACCTGCAGCCGGGTCACTGTCCCCACCGTGTCCTGCTCCTTGGCTGGGGGCACAGCAGAGCACAGTCACAGAGCAGTCGCAACAAGGCAGCAGACCAGCCCAGCTCCCCGACTACTTGGCAAAGCATCGCCCACCAGGCGGGCGTGAGATCGCGTGAGCGCCAGCTTCAACATGATGACACCACATCGGACTTTTGAAGCTTTTAATAATTCATCTGTTTCAGGTGGCATGTCCTGAGACAAGTCCTTCTGCCCAGTGTTGTCTGTGTGCCCGTGTGCGAGCAGGTGGCCACAGGACTGACCAACATGTCTCCCTGACCTGTGCGTCCAGAAATGGTGGCTGCCGTGCCGTCCCGGTTTCCAAACACAGCGGCGACACGGATGCTGTAGGGGGTGTCTTCCTGGAGATTCTCGATGGAGAACGTAGTGGTGTCAGCAGTGACCACACGAGAGATGTCCACTCCTGATGTTGGGAGAGAAGCAAAACAATACAGCCAATCACAGCGCAGAACTACAGCAGACCAGCCAATCAAAAACCAAGCAATACACAACCTAACCAATGCCAGCAAAGATAAGAAAAATATCTCACCAATCACAGCACAACATCCCCAGTTAAAACAATATGAGAAACCATGTGTTCAGCAAGATCAACAATAATCTCACCGATGACAGTGATGACAGTGATGCAGTAAGGTAGCAGAGCAGTGGTACAGTCGCCTGTGACTCTGTGTCACCGACCTTCCAGAAGAAAGATGAAAGGCAGAAAAAAAAAGGAGGAAAGTGGAAACATTAACACCTTGAGTAAAGGAGAGAGAGGCAAAGAGAAATAAAGAGGAGATACAAAAGAGAAGAGGGGCAAGGAGCGAGACAGGGCTATAGATAAGTGAGTGAGAGGAAGTGGTGTTTGCTTGTCAGTTTAGGAGTGCTACCATCTCTCTTCCTCCAGGTGATCCTGTATCCCGTTGCCCTGGCGACAGGTGTCCAGGCGATGCGGATGCTGCTGCTGGAAGCATCCAGGGTGCTCAGCTTAGTCAGTGTCCGTACTGGCTCTGAACAGAGAGCGAGGGGGAGGGAGAAGGAGACATAAAGGGGGCAGAAAGAGAAGAAGAGAGAAAGGTGTAAGTGTTGGTCACCACACACTCACTGCCTCAAATATTAGGAACCCCTCAGGCTGGGCCTGCAGGCAGAAAGATGCAGTTTGTATTCCAAATGATTCTAAAACACATCCCCCCCAGTCCCAGTCCTGAGTTTCTGAAGAGCTGTGAAGGTCTCTAGGACTGAAAACACCTCCTGTGCCACTGGTTTCCAACAGAACTGAGGTCAGGGCAGTGCTCCAGCACTCCTCTGGCTAGGACAGTGAGGAAAGTCACCCTCCTGCTCCCAAAACAATCATATTCCCACTGACAGTCTGATCAGCTGACCCAACTGGAGATCCTAATATTTTGGCCAGGGCATTTCATCACACCAACAGCAGTAGGAGCTGCGAGTGTCCTCTGCTCGGACCCGGAGCCAGAGAGCGAGCATGCTGCTCACAGCGGTCTCCTCACAGGAGGGGCAGGGCAGACAGGGCCTGACAAGCCCAGCTCAAGTCATGGAAATTCCAAACCACAGCAGATTAAACACTCGAAAGTGAACTAAGCATCTAAAACCAGCTATCTCCTTAGTCACCAATTCCCAAAATCCTCCTTATTCTTGGATCAGGTATCAGACATTCTGACTTCTCTTCTGGCTACAAGATGTGTTGGAGAGAAAATGTGGGATGAAACCCTACCTGTCCTGGCATTTAGAGAGGCAGGACTTCCTTCCCTTGAGCCAATTAAGGCAGAGACTGAAACTCTGTAGGCGGAGTCTTCCTGAAGTCCATCAACGGTAAAGGAAGTGACATCACTGCCTACCCTGCGGGAGGACTCCTCTCCTACAGAGAGAGCAAGAGAGAGAGACTGAACAACAGGGGACAGATTTATTGGGCAAGAGCGTGACATTCACAAGCCACCACTTCTGAATTCCACCTTCCACCAGTGACTGTCTGCATGTCCATGTGGGAGCTAAGTCAGGTTAAAGAACAATCAGGCAGTATAAAGGGGAAACATGGCAATTTTAATTTAATCTGAGTAAGTATGTCCTTGACACAGCACTATGGAGGCCCATGCTGTGCCTACCGTCGTCACGACGCCAACTGATCTTGTACTCTGTTGCCCTTGGCAGTGGAGTCCAAGCTATCCGGATCCTCCTGTTCCCCGTGTCCAGTACCCGCAAGCCAGACACCCTGCCCACCAGCTCTGGAGCTGTCCTGGAGGACAGAGTGACCGCACTGCTCTCACGCTGGCCAATAAGAGTGTAGACAGCAATGACCAGGGACTCGTCAGCCACCAGCCCCTCCATGGTGAATGAGGAGGAGTCGCCTGGCAACAACCGGGACTGCGCTTGTGCTGGAAAAACACAAAATCTGTCAGAATCCACTGCAACAGTGACTTCGCCACTCCAGCATCAGTGACATCACTGCCACAGCACTGCCACAGCATGAGTGATATCACTGCCACAGCATCAGTGACATCGCCACTCCAGCATCATTGACATCACTGCTACAGCATCAGTGACATCACTGTTACAGCACTGCCACAGCATCAGTGACATCACTGCCACAGCTTAAGTGACATCACTGCCACAACAGCCTTACTACAGCTTCAATAGTCACACCAGTGTTTGAATTGTATTGTATTATTAACACTGCACACCAATATACTATATATAGTTTATAGAAAGGTTGTCACTCTCCAAAAACAAACCCAGAAATAAAAGACGCCACCTACCACTGCCCTGCCTCCAGGTGACCCGGTAGCCTGTTGCTCCAGCAGCCCTGGACCAGGCAATGCGCACTTGATTGCTGCTGGTGTCAGTCACCCTCAGGTCTGTGACCCCGCCCACCGATTGCTCTGCCAGCAGGAACAGGAAGTGCTTCACACACAGGGAAATCCACAATGCCCACAGCCCACTGGCTGAACAGCAACACACTGGCTGAACCGCAGCCCACTGCTTGTCACTCCACTGCAGCCCTCTCCCTCTCACTCCTCTACACCTCACTCCCTCTCACTCCCTCCAAAATACTGCCTCTCACTCTCTCACACCACTACACCTCACTCCCTCTCACTCCTCTACACTGCTGCACTCCCTCTCACTCTCATTCTCATTCATTCCCACTCACACCACTGCAGCCCTCTCCCTCTCACTCCTCTACACCTCACTCCCTCTCACTCCCTCCAAAATACTGCCTCTCACTCTCTCACACCGCTACACCTCACTCCCTCTCACTCCTCTACACTGCTGCACTCCCTCTCACTCTCATTCATTCCCACTCACACCACTACAGCCCACTCCCTCTCACTCCTCTACACTGGCGCACTCTCTCTCGCTCACTCCCTGCCAGCTGCGCACCATGCCTCCTCACGTACTTGTACCTCAGTATCTCACTCCACCAGGACCCCCTGACCCTGTCCGTCCCCTCCCCCAGCCCAGCTCACCGGTCCTGGTGCTGACAGTGGTGGGGTTTCCTTCCACCCCCCCGACCAGCACCGCCACGCCCACTCGGTACCCCTCGTTCTCCCGCAGGCCCACGATTTCGTAGGAGCTGGCGTTCCGGGGTAGCGTCTGACTGAGCTCCCTGCCTGCAGCACAGAGGCAGAGAGACATGGGAACCGGGTCAGTGGCCACGGCCAGGTGAACCGCAGCAACAGTGGCAGGACCGGGACTGACCGTCACCGCTGCGCCAGGTGACCCGATACCCCGTGGCCTGTGCGATGCCAGTCCAGCTGATCCTGATCCGGTCACTTCCTCTCTCCAGGATTCGCAGGTTGGTTATGATGGGCTCGGAGACAACCTCCTCTGGAAAAGGACACAGGATTGCAGTGTCGCCGCATCGCAGGAGGGCTGAAACTTGTCTGAGCGCTCCATCCCAGAGAGCCTTTAACTGGAGTGATTCTGCAGTTTCTGCTGCCTCTTCCACACTCTCGTTGCTCCTACTGAACACGTCCCATCTGTCCTCTCCTGCATCCCACACCACTTCCTCACTCCCTGCACAGCTGCCTCTGTCCCTGCTTCCCTCCTCCTCTTCTCTCCATCCTGACTCCCGCTGCCTCCCTGCCTCTCAGTGCGTCTCTCCAGGCTATGATCCTTCATCCCTCACACAAAGTTCCTCCTTCTCTTATTCTGCAAATCTCTCCTTCCTGTCCTACGATTCCTGTTCCTGCTCTCACCAGTCCTGATGCTGACAGACACGGGGCTCCCCTCCTGGCTCCCCACAAGCGGTGTGACAGTGATAGTGTAGGTCACCCCAGATGCAAGGTCGCTGAGGTCGATGGAGGTGCGGTCTCCCAGGAGTTCAGACTGCTCTGTCCCATCTGGAGTAGAAGACACAACCACAGCACAGAGTTACAGCACAGAGCTGCAGCAACAGCACAGAGTTACAGCACAGAGCTGCAGCACAGAGTTACAGCACAGAGTCAAAACACAGAGTCAGAGCAACACCATAGAGGTACAGCACAGTGATAACTCACTGAGTTATGGTTCTCTCACAATCAGGAATGTACTCACCCTGTGTGTTGAGAACAGTCACTCTGTAGCCTGTGGCTCTAGACACTCTGGTCCAGGTCAGTCTGACCCGGCCTCCTCCCAGATCCTGGACCTGGACATCCCCCACACTCTGCACCTCTGTAAGGACACACAGGCTGGGGGTCAGACACACAAACACTCACCAGTGCACTCCCGACAGACACTCCAGAGACACGTGTGTCAGACCCCCCCTCCCCAGAGACACGTGTGTCAGACCCCCCCTCCCCAGAGACACGTGTGTCAGACCCCCCCTCCCCAGAGACACGTGTGTCAGACAGACAGTGGATGTGATCCCCCTCCTGGTGGCTCGCGGTACTGTGAGGAGTCCCACTCACCTGCCCTGATGGTGACAGTGACGGGGGTCCCCTCCCTGCTTCCCACCAGCGCGGTCAGACTGATCCTGTAGGACACCCCCTCCTGCAGGTCCTCCAGGTCCAGGGTGGTCTGATCGCCTGGGATGCTGAGAGAGCGCTCCTTCCCGTCTGCAAGAGCAGAGAGCGGTCAGTTACAGCAGCCTCCTCCCACAGCCCAGAGCAGACCAGGCTCCAGCTGAAAGAATCTTCACATGAGGCTTACAAGCTTAGCAGCAAACTTTCTGGGGACAATGAAGAGTCAGAGCAGGCAACAGGAAGAGAAGTGTGTGTGTCCTGATTAAAAATATTGAGCACGCGCACGGACACTGGTCATGTCCAGGTGGTACCCACCCTCGGTGTTGATGATGCGAATGAGGTATTCGGTCGCCCCGGCAACGCCCGTCCAGCCCAGCCTGACCGTTCTGCCCAGAGTCTCCAGCACCCGCAGGTTAGACACGCTGCCCACAGGCTGATCCACTGCACACACACACAGCAGTTAACACCACAACACAGGGAGCAGAAATCATTTTCCTCAATGATAACTTCACTGCACTGTCTTAAGACAGTGCAAGTGCTTAGCACACCGGGGCAAGCTCCACAGAGAAGACACCAGGAGTCCCCCGGCTGGGGCGCAGTGCTGGCCCAGGCTGGGCGGCTCGAGCTGTACAGGTCAGCTGTGCCACAGCGCCGTCGGGACAGCGAAGCTGCTCTCGAGAGCTCACCTGTCAAGGAGGTGGAGGCGGGCGTGGCCACTTCCCGGCCCTCGTACAGCGTGTACAGCGTGATGACGTACTCCGTCCCAGGCTGCAGCCCAGTGATCTCGTATCTGTTAGTGCTGGTGGGAAATGACAGCCTCTGCGTTTCGCCCCCTGTGGGCCGGAGGACAGAATTGCAGGCATTATTCCACAGGCGCTGACGAGACCAGAGTGACCTCAGGATTTCATTCCAAACCAGCTATGAATGGCTGAATTGATGGAATGATCAACTGACTATTCAACAATGATTGAGAACCATTTATTTAATTTATGTAATTAATTAATTTTATGTAATTAATTTTAAAAAATGTTTTCCTTTTCATAAGTTTTGGTCACTGTTTTTGATATATTATTGATATATTGATATACCAGACCGTCTTAATGGAAAGAATGATAATTCAATACACTTTCAAGGGGTATTAGTGACATGAGCATAGTTCAATAAATCACATTTATTATAATAATACATTAACGAGTCAGATTAAACGTGCTGTGGTATAAAAATATCCTAACTTTAAGTGTTCTTTTAATAAGAAATTATACTAACATCTTGCTTTTGTATAGTGTTTTTCCTTTCAAAGCATCCTAAAGCATTTCATCCACACTAAAGTGCAGCCATTCCGATCAGGTAGGGACCTGAGATATTGCTCTATTAATTGAATTGCGGGAAACTTTTAGGGAGGCTTGATTTTCATGTCCAGAGTGGACTTTATCCAGGAGACCAGAGGAAACAGGGGCTTCCTTAATGACCAGTACTCAGGACGTCAGTCCAGAACAGCGCCTCCTACAGCACAATGTCACCACACTGGGCCACTGGTCTGCACAGTGGTCTTCCATCCCACAGCTGACCAGGTCCCTGCGACCTGCAGGAGGACAGAGCTGCTGCCCACTGCAGTCCACATCTCTGTGCCGGGACACTCATTTCCCCAGGTCACCCAACAGAACCTCACCTGCAGCCCGCCTCCACTCCAGCCGGTAACCCTGTGCTGACTGGATCACGTTCCAGGTGACCCGAATGGAGCTGGGCCCAATCGTGAAGGTCCGGAGAGTCTGCTGCTCTGATCTCTCTGAGGGGGAACAGAACCAGAACAGTGCTGACTTTCACACTTGGCTATGACATGCTGACGGGCAGACATGGGGTGAGAGGAGAAGCCGGGACACACGGTCCGCTGGAGGTCAGGGCACAGTATGAACAGCTCTCAGTCCGCTGGAGGTGAGGGTACAGTATGAACAGCTC